CTTCTTCTTCTTCTTCTTCTTCTTCTTCTTCTTCAGACTAGAGACTTATACTAGTTGGACAGAGATCAGAGTTGGACTTCGGTGATATGAGACTGTGGTACTTACCTGATTGGAGACTTGGAGATTGTTGAGGTTGATACTCGGCTGCATCACAGTTGGACACCGGTTACATCTGGACTCTGYATCTCYGACAYTGGTGACCTATGGGCCTCAACATTTTGATCTTGTTGTATGACATTTTGGACTACCATATCGGAGACCTATCAGACTCTATCTATCGGTGTTGTCTACCTCCCCACCTCCTTCGTCTCTCCTCCCACCTTTCATCTGTGAATGCGTGTACGGGATCTGGGCATCGTCTATGAATGGCCCAGACCCCACCATCTCACGATTGTATGTGTGTGGAGTGATTCTATGTGAGTCAGTCTATGTGAGTTAGTCTATGTGAGTCGGTCCGTTTATCAGACTTCCACTGCATATATGCTCATCCTACATTGGTTGATCTTTGGTTCTGCCCATACTCATTGAAGTATGCAACACAGGGCCACAGAGCTTTTGTTTCTAGCTGCTCCCAGATTCTATCCCACCACCTCCACAGCCAGAGCGCACCGGGGCATTGCAAAAATACGTGTTTTGTTTCTAGCTGCTCCCAAATTCTGTCCCACCACCTCCACAGCCAGAGTGCACCCGGGCATTGCAAAAAGATGTGTTCAATTGTCTCCGGCCAATTTTTGGTTGGGAACAAGTTGATGCACAACTTGCACCAGGGGAGGCCGTGTCCTTTCTGTTGCAAGGATGTTCTATCTATCAACCAGTTATTGGTAGGTAGACAGCGATGTTCCAGCTGCCATTGGAGAGAGGCAATTTTAGTCGGTTTCTCTTTGGCCATCTTGAACCACGTAATCAGCCTTAGCTCTTCCTTGCTGACGTTTAAGTGGTTTCTCCAGCATTCCTCTACCTGATCTCGAAGATTTATTGTCGGTCTTAGCAGCCTGTAGGTGGACTTGATTGTTAGACCGTTTAATGTCCTAGTACATTTCCTACCCTTCCCCATGCGGTTTGTCCATGTCCATTCCAACGGGTCCAGGGTCAGATGATGAATCGGGGAACAAGGTTGGAAGGCTATGTGTTGTTCATTTTCCTCGAGTACTCTAATTCTAAAAAGCGCTTCTTTTTTACACTCAATGACTCCTTCCGAATTGTTGCTTTGGATTATGTTATCCCGTCCTACTTGGAAGAGGTTTACTTCCACTCTTCCTTCGGGGGTGCAGCGGGCCACCCTACCTACTTCTCCTTGTCGTCCGGTCACCGCCAGCCAGTCTGACTTTTGCAGGGTGGGGCCTTAAAGTTTGTGAAGGATTCTCCACAAGTCTAGGGGGATCCTCTCCATGATCGCCTCCAGGGTTTCCTGTGGCCAGTGACAGTACCTCAGTTTTTCCCGTAGCTGGTCAGGACTTATCCAGTCTTTTTTTTTCCGTGTCCCATATGTCCTTCACCCTCATTACCCATCGCTTGATCCATCCTTGCCAGGGCGAGTCCATGCAATGAAGTGTTTGTCCTCTCGAGTCTACCACCCATCTGTTGCCAAAAAGGGGTTTCCTCGCTACTTCCTCCTATCTATCCGGTGGTGTTTTATCCGGTAAAGGGAGGCTTCTCCATATTTTGAGGAGAGAAGGCTAGAACGGATCATTTCGCAGGTCGGCCCTTGCTGCATGTCTGGGGGAGTGATGATCGGGATCTTGTTGTACCGGTCTTACCCCTTGGGATGGGCCAATCCCTGTTTTCCAGCCACATCCGCGGGTCACTCCCTTCTGTTGTTTGCGGTGCCAATCGGGAAATCTGTTTCAAAGCTAGCCCTTTCGAGGGAATGTCAGGGATGAAGATCAGACGTTTCATCCATTGTAATGCCAGTGCTTTAGTTTGTACAAGTGGGTCAATAATGCCAAGACCCCCTTTTGTTTTGGGTTGGATTATAGAGTGTCATGCCACACGATTGATCACGTTTAATTTCTCATGGTCACTCCTCCATAGAAATACTATTATCTGCCGCTTTAATGGGCGTAAGGCCTGCTTGTCCAAAACCCAAATTGCTGACTTGTACCATAGCGAGGCCAGCACCACGTTGTTAATTATTAAGGAACGTCCAAACACTGAGGTGTGTTTGTTTTTTCAGAGTGCCATTTTTGCCAGGGGTGGGTTTGTGAATCATTCGTTGTTGATGGATGACCTACCTCTTGCCGTCATTGATATGCCCAGCACTCTGATGGGTGCCTCTTCAGGGAGCCATTTGAGTTTGGGTTGCTCTGGAGGTCTCACTCTCTGATGGTGGATCCACCGTCCTTGGGTTGTATTTCCCCAGTTTACTCTCCTGTCTGAGAGTTTGCAGAGTCGGTCCATCATGTGTTGTATCTCCTCCATTGATTCCTTGGAAGCATCCACCATTAGGGTCAAGTCGTCTGCAAACAATGAGCAGACCGGAATTGCTTCCTTGGGTATTGCAGAGACTTGGATTCTTCTAATATCCTTGTGGGTTCTTAGGTTAGTAGCTAGTGCTTCCATGACAATTACGAAAAGACATGGGGCTATGGGGTCCCCCTGTCTAACTGATCTTTGAAGGTCGATGGGGGGGGTCAGATTGCCATTCACCATAACCCTGGTAGTAGCATTGGAATGAATGATCTTTATCCACCACCTAAAATCCGGTCCAAAATTGAGTTTTTATAGGCACCTATTTAAAAAAGTCCAGTCCACGTGGTCGTATGCTTTTTCGAAGTCGATAAAGATGATAGCTGCATTATTTTTGGATTGTCTGGATAGTTTAATCCTCTCGTTGACCAGAAGAATATTCTCCTGGATGTTCCTGCCTTGTATGAAGCCTGTTTGGTCTAGGTCAGTGCCGGACCCGTGAACGTGATCGACACCGGTCACTTGACGTGACCGGCCGTTCACGGTGAACGGGGCCGATCACTAAAGAGTGGTTTTTTTTTTTTTTTTTTTTTTTTTTTGGGTTCCCCTGGTACATTCACCTCAAGCCCCACACCGTGGTGACATTGAAAAAAAAATAAAAAAAATCGAAATGACCTACAAAATAACAAAAGAAAATGCTTATTTTGGCTGGTGGATTTTTTTTTTTTTTTTTTTAATTAAAAAAATATTATTCGTGAAAAGGTTTTTTGAAAAAATTATAGGGAGTTACCCTTCGATGTCCCCCACCCTCCTATAAAAAAAAAACATACCCCCCAGCCAAAAAAAAAAACAAAAAAAAACATACCGCTCTCCGTGAACTCCATGAACTCCCGTGTCGTGAACTTCGTGAACTCTATGACCGGCTCCGTTCACAGACCCCGTGAACGGTGAACGGGGGTACGACACTGGTCTGGGTGAATGATGTCCAACATTATTGGTGCCATACGATTGGCCAATGCTTTTGCCATCATCTTGTAGACCACTGTGAGCAGGGTGATTGGTCTGTAATTTCTGATATTTATTATTTCCCCTTTTTTATAGAGGAGCGTCAAAACTCCCTGCCCAACCAACTCCCTAGTTCGTCCTGTGGTCCAAGTCTCATGGTAGTATTCCATGAGATCTTGCGAGATGTCTGACCACATTGCCACCCAGAATTCTTTGGGGAACCCATCTATGCCCGACGTTTTTTCGTCTTCCATTTGCATCAATGCTGTCCATATTTCCTCCTTTGAAAGGGGCTTATCTAAACTGTCTCTTTGCCGTTCTGTAAGGGTTTTATTGAGTGGGCGTAAGAAGTCATCGATTTCTTTCATACGCTGGTGCATCGGTTGGTTCCCACATTCTGATGTTAACAATATCTGATAGAAGTCCATTGCTATTTTTGTGCAGGCAACTGTGGACGTGTGCAAGGGGCCTTGCTTAACTTTGGGGTCCTCTAAGGCTTCGATTACAGTCCTCCTTTATTTGGCCTTGGCCATGGCAAAGAACCTTGCATCCATGGCTCCTTCCATGTTGTATTTGGAGAGTCTACCTCGGATTCTCACGCCTTGCCATCTATACTCCATATAGTCTACAAGGCAGGCTTCTATGGTCTGGACGGCTCTGGCGAGCCCCTCTTGGTCAACCTCTGTCACGTTTTCCTGCCGTTGCATGCATTGTAGTTGGTGCTGCAAGTTTAATTCTTCCGCGTGGCGACGTGCCGCAATAAGTTTTGAGTATTTGTTGTACTTGCGGCCCCAAAAAGCCAGGCCGTTGTTGAACCATACAGTTTTGTCTTGGATTTGTTTTTTTTGTTCCTGCCAATAGGACCACACCTCTGCGAGGTAGGTCTTGAAGCGGCCGATGGACAAGAGGGATGTGTTCAGCTTGTAAAAACCTCTACCCTGGCCCATTTTTTTTCCCGAAGGAGAAAGTCGCCACGCACATTGCATGATCCAGGCCCGGGTAGGGGCTGCGAGGGAATATTTCTGCTATCTGAAACGCCCCTTGTATCTCCTCTGAAGCGAGTATAAGGTCTATCCGGGATTTGGACGCCTTTTCTGTATTCCTCTTGCGAAAACAGGTGAAACGACGGTCAGTGTGATAATGTCTTCGGAAGGTATCGAAGAGGTCAAGGGATTGTGACAACTCCACAATTAGCCTCTCGTCGTTCTCGACGTAAATTGGGCAGGGGGCGGGGATTTTCCATCTGTCCAACCATCGGTCCGGCGCCGCATGAAAGTCGCCCACCAAGATCACGGGATTGCGTAACAGTAACTTGGGTTTGAGGGACTCGAAGAAGGTTTGTCGTGTTGTCGGTTCATTGGGAGCATATACGTTTAAAATGCTTACGACTTCGAGTTACAACATTGCCAATAGATAGACCCAACCGCCCCCCTCTTGATCTGCATCCCAGTTCAACATCTCTGCTTTGGAGCCCGGCGGGAGCCATATGGCTACTCCCCCGCTGCCGGGACGCGGGGCGTGAGCCCGGAAGGCTTGATTTCAATGAGCGAAGGTCAAGGTCAGCTTGTCGTTTGCACAATTTCCAAGTTCTCTCTTTACCATACAGAGCGTCAACCACATTCATCTTGTTATTAGCTTCCTTTTATCTTGATGCCCTTACAAAGGAAGCCAATTCCCTGTGTCCAAGAGGTTGCCTTTCTGCAGTATACTGTTTTTGAGAATTTTCACTAAAAAGTCCTCTATTTCTTTCGCAGACCAGAGGTCACCTACCTTTATTCTTAGGAGTTGCAGGTCTTTAAGTCCCTCTTGGTCCAACCAACGTAACTCATCTGATTTCAGGTGATCATATCGCAAATATACG